CATCAAGGAAAAAAGAAAAAGAAAAAAAAAGCACAAAGTTTTTAAAACTGATTGTTAGTGTCAGCAACTAGTATCCCAAGGGTAACATGCAATTTTACTGTATCCATAAGACTTTTCCAGACGTGAAAAGACACTAAGCTTCAGCCCAGACAACCAAATTTTAAGTCTGATGCAGTCTGATCTTGTTTGGACCATGAAATTCAGAGAAACTTGTCCAATACTCATCCTATAAACAGGATCAATAGTGCAAACACTGTTTAATTAAAAATGTTTAAACAAACTGTCCTAGCACAAAAAAAAAAAAAACACTAATGAGGTAAGATTTAATCATATAAAATACTTAAAAGAGATTGGCTAGGTCTTGCTTTCAGATTACTTAAGTACTCTTTAAAATGTGTAATTAACATATAGTAATAAATATTTCATCTTTAACAAGCCTAGAGGGAGCAGTTTGTTAAACATCTATTTCTGGGCAGGGGGAATTACGTGCTATCATTTTATCACGCTCTGTATTAGGCAGTTTTACTGCAGCCCTTCGGTGGCCGCAGCGGCGCGGGCCCTGCTCTGAGGAGCCGCCACGGAGGACTCGGCTCGTCCAGCMCTCCCGGCCCAGCCCCGGCTGCCTCACAGCAGAGCTGGTACCTGCCGGGGCCTCTCCCAAGCGGCCGCAATCCAAGTGGCACTGTTGATTTTTATACTGTCTTATTTGAACTGTAGAATAGAATTGTACTGTATAGAGCTCTTCCAGTCAGTATATATTAGTACCTGCAGGCAGAAGCCACCTAAGCTCAAAATAATAGAACTGTAGTGGGATAGCAGCCATATTTATTTCCAGATTTTTTAACAAGCAATAAGGCCAGAGCATTATGCACATTGCCATGGCATAAGACCTTTCTATTAGTACTTTTCCAGCTCTTTCCCTCCTTCACAATTTGAAGATACTGCTTCCCAAAGGTGAAGTCAAAGTTACCTTTGAGATAGACATTGATCAAGGTGAACCAGCATCACCCTGGGAATATCCAGGACATCCACTACAAGACCAAAGTCTGTCACTGCTATGAGAACAAGTTACAATCTTTATGAACATTTTATTCTGCCAGTGTTTGTCAGCTGAGAAAACACTGCAGACAGCAGAGACCACATCTACTACACCACATCCCATTGAACATAAAGGCAACTGCTCTGTAAATCAGGCAGTCTGTCCCCGCCGCATAAGCATGTGGATCAGCCAGCAGCCCAGCGCCACCAAGGGATCCGTTCTCCTGTGTGTCCTACGTGTTTACTCAGGGATTCAACACAAGGCAGCGCCACAGGTGCACAGGGGGATTTATGAGAGCATTAAACATTACTGTCCTTTGGCCGACAGCTTTTATTCCACTGCAAGGCTAAGGAAACCACTTGAACCACTCCTCAGACAAACCCATTACACCGATAACGTCCCACGTCCTGCCAAGGAACAAAACCAAGAGCCAGGCCAAGCAYTTCCTGGGCTTCCCTCGTGGTAGCGGCGCAGTCCCTTCCCGAGGGGACAAACACGAGGCCGGCTGGGCTTRGCACCACCACTGAGTTTTTCCAGGCTCTTTTAGACACAGACACGAAAATGGCAGCATGTTTATGGATAACTGAATAGGAAATAAAGATTTCTGAACAGAAGTCATACTCTGCTATTACATGTAGCATCTTTAATGATGACTACAATTGTTTTCCTTTAAATAAATTAGATCTCCATTTGTCATTAATGACTGCATCACTTAAATATCAGGAAGGAACCGCCTSGTGCGCTTATTAATAATTGAAAACTTTGAAGAAATCTGTGAAACATTTTCAATCAAAGCTAATAAATCTCATTTTGTTTCCTGAAACATTCTTTCTCCTTTTATTTTTTTTTAGCCAACAGGCCAAATTTTAAATACCAGCATTAAGAAAAATCAATGCACAACTGGAAATAATAGTTAACAAGTATTCAAAAATCAGAAATAGTTTGAAGAGCAAGTATAGGAGGGGCAATGTTTGTCTGTCTCCACCTTGAAAATATGCTGAATTTCTATTCCAGTCTGTATGCAGTTCGCCAGTATCTTACATTCACGTTTAAGAAAGTGCAGTGACACAATCTCTGCCYTTAGTCTACAAAAGCCTGAAGAAAAGCTTTCAATAATCATTGCATCTTCAGCAGAGTCCATCAAGTCAGGACTCCTGTTGGTACACAACCAGTCTTTGTAGAACTACTAAATGACCAAAGGGAACAAAAAACACCCAAGAGTTTTGATTAAAGTGAAAAAATATCGAGTGYTTTGTCATTAAAGTTCTACGTGGTAATTATTCTACTCAGTCATTTTACTTCACAAGGACAGCAGCAAAAAAGATCACCACAACATCAGTTTTATCTGCAGAGATCTGATGCAGTAGGGCTGTTTTTCATGGCCACAGAAAGGCTCCAGGGAAGTCTGTGAYCACAGCTCCAGTGCTGCAATCCTGCCCGCAGGACACGGAGAGTGGCGGCCAGAGCCTGCGGCGCCCGAGGGGCTTTGCCTGACGGGGATCCTCGCTAGAGCCCAGCAGGGGCTGGTCATTCTACACTTCCACTCACAGACAGAATGGACTTAWTTTTCTTTAATCAGAAAACACATTTTGCTACCATCTTTCATCCAGATGTTTCCTCACCTTTCCAAAACAACTCTCATTGCATGTGCACTCTCATTGCAGAGAGCAGTATTTTACATATGGAGATGCTAGTGCACTGGAACAACCTTCTCCAACCTGTGCCTGCAGCAATCGGGAACCTAGAGATGACAGCGATTAGCTGCACACCAGTGACTAGACCCCACGGAAACAGCTTTCCCTGCTTGACTGTTGCAGCCACACAATGCTCCTACTCCTACTTGAAGCATCTGGTATATTTTGGCCTCAGAAATACCAGAGGCTAAGTTCAGCCGTCATATCATAATGCACGTTCCCTTGAAAGCTTTTCCAATGACTTGCATCAGAAATCTGTCATTTTTAGCATGGTTTTCCCTAGACCTTTTAGTCCCTGGAAGCTCCAATAATAATCCAGAGGGCGAGAGGAGAAACCCCTAACCAGTGCCCATCGGCTGGTCTCTTACCTGCCTGCAGAAAGCACCAATGCAGGGAGCCCACAGGCTCCTCCACCTCCTGCCATTCCCAGCAGTCATYCTCAGCCTCCTTTGCTGCAGTCCAACTCCTTAACTCTTGTCCTTTCCATGGCAGAAATGGTGGACACTGCCCCATAGACCTGCAAGGGCCTTTGGAGGGACCCCCTGGCCTACCATGTATGAACTGTGGCCCTCCATTCCGGGGAAAGAAGTCAAGAACTCAGAGACAGGCCAGGCAGGGCTGAACTGCAGCCTCTGGCTGTAGACCCGCTACCACTGACCGGCACTTGCCCGGCCATCCCATCAGCAGTAATCAAAGGTCACCTGCTCTGGGAACTCCTCAGTCTGGCACCRTGCTGACCAGCCCAGCACTCACCTGCAAAATTAAAACATATCAAGTCTGCTGAACCAACTGAATACTGCAAAGACAGGGAATTTGTGTGTTCACATACACACTCTCCTGCCTACAGCAGAGCTTCCCAAACTTAGGTTGTTTTTGGCAGCAGTGGGGGCAATTCCCAGGTCTGTACTCCAGCAATTGGTCTGCTGTTTGCTTATCATATTAAGAGCTGCCACAGCTCTCAAGGAGCAGCCAGAGAGTGCCAAGGCAAAGGGGTTTTTCTCGGGTATACTTGCCCACACATCCACAAATCGCTTTGATTTACTCAAACGATGAACTCGCACKCCTGTTTGTGTCCGGCCTCGGTGCTTACTTTCACCTCTGAGAACAAGCAGAGCGGTTCCACCTCCACAGACCATTTTCTCCTCTGCCAGAGCAGATGATTCCACCTGCAGCAAAGGTGGAGCAGAGGTTTTCATCAAACCCATCCCTGCTGCCACAGCATTTCATCAGGTAACTACTGGGAAACAAAAACAGTTTTGTGACAGAAGTTCTCTGAGCAATTTGCCTGCCGTTGYAGACAGGCATCATGATACCTCACCTGCAGACACCACGAAGGCGATCTTCTCCCTCACAAGTTACAAAGATATGGTTTGAATGTCAGGGTATTTTGCAGGAGGTCTATATCGTATTTCAGTCCTTTTCCAACACTGCATAAAGATTAAAAGACTGCTATTTAGTATGTAAAAAGTATTTATGTCAGTTCTAAGACAATATTTGTCTTCTGTGAAATCAGAGATTCTTAACTCAAAGATTCCTCAAACACAAATAGCAACTTGCATTTGTTTTTGACAATGTGCCTATTAARTATGTACCTATTTAAAATTATCTTTTTTTTTTATTCAAAGGACCTTCCTTATTAAAGGAAAACTGAAGAATTATATAAGTGCAATCTCTGCATTTAACAATTTACAYGTTTTATTGGTTTCTGAAGATTTACTGTCCATAGTGCAGACTAGTAATCCAATAGAAAAGTTGAGCCAACATGCTTAAAGAAATCAATCTCTCAGATATATAATTCTGATATTTTGAAAAAGAAACCATTTGAAATAGATGTGTTCACTTAAAAATAGGCTTAAACAAAATATCTAATATAACCCCAATGGCTTTATTACTCCTTTTAAATCAGTGATTATGAATAATCATGTTTTTTTAGTCCAAATGCTTTGTTTCCCTCTTTGCTAGTAAATTTAAATAAGYCCCTACTAAGGAAACAAGTAAAAGATGAGCTGCCCTAGCAGTCTTATGAATAGGATACTAATATCAACAGACAAAAGGAAAACTCAAAAGAAAAAACAACAACAAACACCCCACAGCCTTAGCAGAATTTAGTTCCTATGTATTTTATTTTATTTTATTACATTCTTTGTTGGATTTTTTTATGCAACTGTTAYGCCACATTCTATTATACACATTTAAAATGGAAACCTGCCATTTACCACTTATATTTGTATTTCTTTTGTCATGGTTTTCTACGTCCACACATACTGTGGGATAAGTGCATTTATCACATTTCATTTCATGCAGCACTGACCTGCCTTATGCAAGCAGAGAACACAATAAATGGTGCCAGCAGTATTTAGCTGCACACATTCCGGCCGCGAAGACACACATTCGTAAAAGCATTAAAATACTTCGGGCGACAGTTAATGCCGATCAGCTTAATGTTTTGAGCATGGAAATGGACATGGGACCATCTTTGCTGCTGTCAACTGCAGTACTTGAAGTTCATTAGGTTCCAAAAGACCAAATTAATTTCAACGTTTCAGTGAAAGAAAAAGCCCAAGGCAACTGGCCTAATTCAAAAAGATGCTACAGAGATTCACAAACATCAGGCTAAGTTTGGTTCTGGAGATCATGATAAGCACATTGTCACATCCATTTCCTGCTCTTTCAACAGGACTTTTCACCATCGCGCTGTCCCCAGGCCACAGGAAGGGACAGCATGAGAAACATATCCCTTTTTGGTACCCTGCTTGTACTGCCAGTCGATKGTCATAGCTGAAAAGTTTTAGTAATGCTTTTTGTTTTGATAAGAAAAGAATCATTTCAACATTGCCAGACTCTCTGAATCGGGCATAAACCRTCCAGCCTCCTTATGTCACAGCCAAAATAGCACCAGCAGCAGCAGGGCAGGACATATCGCCAAGGACTTCAGAAGACCCAAGTGCTCGCTCAGCGCAGGGACCAGGGATGACACCCCCTCCTCGCGCTCTGCAGCCGCGGGGTACAACGCAGCAGCTCCCCTCATCTATCAGCGCTCTGCAGACACCACAGCAGAACAGGGCCCTTGTGCAGGGCATTACCTACCTGGATACGGCCATTCCTCCATTACTCCCTGTGCTAAAACACAGCACCTACCTCTGGTCCATCAACAACTGCTGCCTGCCCACCCTCTTCTTAAAACAAAAACAGGCTATTAAACTCGGAATTGTCACTTTGGAGCTGAATTCATCAGAAAATCTGAAACAAAGATTAGCATTGGACAAAGTAGAGCGCCACCATTTCTAAGCAAACATAGATTTCCCATCAAGACATAATCTTTGTACAGTTGCTACCAGCTCAAAGAAAAGCAGCTTCCTGTAATCTGGGGAAGAGAAGATGACTACATCAAAAGAGAAGATGCCCACAGGAGAACCCCACAGTTCTCTACCTACCACAGTACATCAAACCAGGCAGCCCAGGGAATGGGAGCAGCTGGCATTGTCACCTTCTTCCTTTTGAAGTAATGTCCAGCACTTTGCTGTTTCACCCTCCTGCTGATCACTCCCTGCTGTGAGCTGTTGTCTGGGCAGACTTCTTCCTTCCTCAGCTATCTATTCCCTACACTTCTGCTCATGGTCCCTTTCTGTTTCTCTCTCTCTCTGCCTCYTCCACCTTACACCTAAGTGGTTCACACTGCTTTTATTATCACCCATGGGCTATTGACTTTGTAATGGAGCTCTATTTCCAACCTCTTTTCTCACATCATCAGGCTACCTTGCCAGCTCTTTTCAATCCCGACAGCCAGTACATTTCTCCATCAAAGTTATCTATCAGCTTGAGGGGTAACACCCTTAACTTTTGGCTTGTTCTAGCAAAAACTGACAATCATTTTTTTCCTAGAACAATAAATATATATTTTTTGCTTAGCAGCTCCCAAACTCACCCCCTTCTTTTTCAGAGACGTGCATGACCGTATCATGCTGCCCATGCCTGCTCTACTTACAGTGATTGGATAGTGCTTACAGACACTGGATCCATGGATAGAGACATTCCTTGAATGCTGAATCTAAATAGACAATGATTAAAAAGAAAATCAGTGGAAGATAAGCAGAATCACTTCCCCTGTGCCTCTCAGCACACTGGAGAACAGAACACGATGGACACAATTGAAATTGGATCCTTTAAACTCAAAGAAAAAACACAAAATTTCCCATTCGAGCTTGCTTCCTCTTCCAGCTGCAGCAATTTATTGCACTTCGTGATGGAGATGAGCTGGTGCCTCCAGTTAGAAGGTCTTTCCCTCAAAGGCCTCCAGGTTGAATGCTGTATCCAAGAACCTTCGGAGCGACACCAGATGGGTGTTCTTGTTGCCGGTGGCGGCGGCGGCCGCGGGCTCTCGCCCAACGTACCTTTGGGACAAACGTGGCAGACACGTGAGAGGCAATTTTCACACTAATGGGCAGGGAAATACACTGCTAAACGCATTCAAGTCAGCTCAGCAGTCAGACATGTAATTGTTGACCTTTTCTGAAATAACAATAAATGAAACTGAAGTTGTGCCATCAGTTCTACCTTCTAATCAGTCTCCATCTCCTTCCCTTCAGTTCTCAGTGGCCTCTTGTCCTCCATACCTTCCAGGGCCACCACCTGCAGTGTTTCATTCCTATTTAAGCCACTCGTGGGGATGGACACACCAACAGCTGCATATGCGGACTCAAAAACTACAACAAGGACAGAGCTTTCTGACTGGACTCTGTTCTCCAGGAAGCTAAAATCTGGAGTGAAATTCTTAGAAAATTTATAATCTTAGACAATAAGAAATAAAAATCCAGGTGGGTCAAGCACTGCAATAAGTAGTGCCATACACAGAGCTAACTGCTATTGTTTTGTTTTTTGTTTGCTTTGTTTTTTCAGAACTCCAAGAGGAACAAGATACGCACTGCGTATCTAAGAAAATGCCACACAGAGTTTTTTCTCCTTCTTTTAAGGAACCAAATACAAGCTTTTGATTTGTGAAGAAACTGACTTCCCATGCCTAACAACCTCAAATGAAAACCCTGGCAAAAGCACTACCCCAGCAGATAAAGCAATTGTTTAAAGTCTTCGTACCAGATAGGTCGRGTGTGGTTCACAATTGTGCGGAAACGTGGTTTGACATAATCATAATATCCACTGTTCTTGTGTTCTTCTTGACACCAAACTAGATCAGCCTCTGGATACTTATCAAGCTCTTTTTTCAGCAGRTCAAAAGGGAATGGTGAGATCTGAAAAGATGTAATCATTGACAAAGCTTTATCTTACACGGTGTGAGTCTTTGGTAGGAAAGGTTTTTATCTGCAGAGTGTTACACACAGCCATTGCATTTAACCTTTTAGTATCAAACTAATGTGACTGCTATTCATTCTTAAAGTGACTCATATTCCTTAAGTTGACTTTAATCATTTAAAGGGGCTAAAGTCATCTTAAAGTGACTTCAACCATTTTTTACAGTATCAGAAATGACCAATTACKGAAGACACATGTTTTATGTTAACAAAAATATGAATGGAAGTAGTCACAGTCCACACCTCTGCATTTCCACAATTTTCCAGTAAAGTAGCTGGCACAATTCAAGGCCATTTGCTTCAGCAGAATTACTGAATGACAACATAGTTCCAAGGAAACTATTCACAACATTTAAACCTAGCAAACTAGAGGTACAAATTTAAGATGCCATCAAATTGTAACGTTCAGCTTTTTCATGTAGTTCTGGGCAAGTCATCAATCTCTGAGTCTCACAGTCCAGTATACCACTGATGTGATCTCTTGTGAGATCAAGTTGTTATATAAATGCAGAGTATGATCATCAGTGTCTCACCTATTTAAAAGCATAGCAATCCTTTACTGAAACTCTCCCCAAATTCCCTGTTTTTTTCTGAGGATCCTGGAGCTCACCTGTTCCAACCTTGTTATAGCCACTTGCTTCTCCAAGTCTTGGTTCTTTCTCTCTCTCACCAGATCGTAGTACACTTTCCCCGTGCAGAAGATCACTCGCCTGACTTCATGTGGCTCTTGAGCTGCCAGCCCATTCTCAGGAATCACCCGTTGGAAAGCGGTACCTAAACAGAGCAAAAACTAGAGGAGTGAACTCAGCTGAATTGACTCTGCATTAAAGCAGTCCCAAAAAACAGCCATGTGCTGAGCACTCAGCTGGGTGCATTGGTCACAGTGCTTTGTTGCCTCTCTACTCCTATGACTTCTCAGGCCAGCAACTTTGCTGAAGTAGATTTCAGCAGTTTGGTTTCAAGAAATGAAAAGATCCTCAGTAAACCACTCTTCTACAACTAATAAATAGAAATATATTGAGAAAGATTTCTTTTCTGGTTTCACGTTGCACTTTATAACTCTAATTTTTAAGTGATATGAGAGCTTACCCTTGCTGACATTCTTACTCAGAGATATACTACTAATAGCTTCTTCTTTCCAAGATGATCTCAACCATGTTACAGTATATCTTTTCAGAAAAAACTCAGAACATTTTCTATACAAAATGTGTTATAAAAACATAGCATAGCATATGTTCTCAGTAAATATATGGGTAAACAATGGAAATACTATCTGGGTAAACATATTACAGAGGAGTTAGCAGTGAGTACCTTAATGTAACTAGGTCAGGTAACTGCAGAAATATTTACATAGGCACACACATTACTACGTACATACTCATAGGCTTAACATCTCTGGCTTGACAGCTAGAATGGAATTGGACAAAGGAAGAATTAGCACAGGACAAAGACACGAGTACAAGTGACGGGATACAGCTTGAGCCGCATATCATGACTGCTAGATATCGCTTGCCGTGATACCACCTCTCAGGAGAACAACTTGCTTGGGCTACAGGAAACTGGAACATATGAAAGGCAGTAATCTTGCTCTGGCACACGTAGGGCCTTGATGGTCTAAGAGATCCTTTCCACTGCTCCTTTCCGTGATTGATTAGAACTATTCTCACATCAGCCAACTACAAGACAGCAGGCAGCGACATGACCTCCCAGCCTGAATCAGCACACCCACTTAGCAGGAGAAAAACCTTCTGTTTGAGCCATTTTTCTCAGGGGGAGAAAAGCAGCAGCACAAATGTATGAAAGAGGAACTGATTTATGTCAGAATTTTCCCATCTCACTCAACAGCAGAATTTATCATCAAAGATGACTGAATCTGTGCGTTATTGGGTCAGCTGGAGTCAGTCTCTCCCCTCCTTCTCATGTTTCGGTTTAAAAACAGAGCAAACAGTKAGCTGAGAGTCAGCAATACTTCACTTGACGTCATCCTCAGCAGAAACATGAAAGTAAATCAAAATCAGATGTCAATTAAGAGTTTTGGCCACTACTGTGAGTTAGCCTGAAGCAGAAGGGCACTCTAAGACTTAACTGAAAGGACAACTCACAATCTTACAGAATTTCTAACCTGCAATCATTCTTTCTAATGGAAAGAAATATAACTGTAATCATACAAGCATATGCATACATACACACATGCACACACAGGTATCACCTTTCCTAATCTAATGATTCTGTAATTGTTTAAAGCAGAAATCAAAGCCAGTGACATTCTTTGCCTGAGAAGATCTGACTCACCTGCAGAAAGGAGATACTGAAATCTTTAAGGATGTTTAGAAATGTTAATATGCATAAAAATACAAACAATTTATTTTCCTCACAATAGCTCCATAAAAATTAAGCCAAAGGAAGACAACACTCTTCAAAACAGATTCTCTTTTCACATTTACAGTCTTGACATGTGACTTTGCATCGCTGATTATATGTCCATAATAGTTTAAGTCAACCTACCAGATACCATTTCATCAAAACTGGATTTAGCTTCTGGATGCCTCAGGAGTGACTTGGGYGTCAAGACTATTAGCTGTAAGACACAGATTTTTTCCAACACTCATGAGTTGCTTCACCAACACTATTCTATGCAATATTTACATCACTGTTCATATATAAACATTAAAAATGCCACAGATCAATTTAATGTGTATAACTAACACAGAAAATTAATTTTGCATGTTTTGAAAGTCTATGGTGTTTCAAAGTTATTCAAAAGATTTAGATAACACACTAAATGTTTTCAACTRCAATTGCTTATAAGAGAAGACTATCTCTGTAGAGAAAAGGGGAAGGGGGAGGCACTGCAGTGCAGCCAGCACCAGAGTTTGGACCCAAAGGGTCTGATTCAAAAGTAGCAGTCATTTCCTATAAAAATACATAGCAGAAGTTCTAGAAATAAAGCATACAGATTACACATATACAATCTATACACAGTATCCCGACAAGCTGAGCTAGTGGTCTGCCTAGCTAGAAGGGAGGAAAGTTGAAAGCCAAACTGTACAATTCTGGTGACAGCTGAGTTTCATTCATCAAACCAACTACCTTTCACCCATACGCATTTAAAGCTTCCACCAAGGTGTTTTGTTTGTTTGTTTGTAATTCAGCAGTATGCTGAATACAAACAAATGTATTATAAACAAACTAATCCCCTTTAAATGTGAGGGATGAGTTAATGTATCAGGAATATTCAAGCTTATATTACAGCAACTTTACCGGTTTTCTGAATGGCAGCAAGATCTGTCTTCTGAGGACATGGAAGTAATTGGCTGGAGTTGAACAATTCACCACAATCCAGTTGCACTCATACAGCTGGGAGACTTCAAACTGCTCAGTGAACTCCTGAGAGAAATATTAAAGCCTTTAGCAAAATAYGGCAGGGGGTGGTAGTGGGGAACAGAACAAGAGGCTTGAAAGCCATCCTTCTGTTTCTGACTCTTAGCAATCCCCTTCTCAAACACTTAATGAGCAGGTTTCTGCTGAGCTTATATTATTAGCTAGGGAAGCATCCCTCRTAATACTTCTCTGTTTCTAGTTCATCCTAAGAAATGTATGCAAKCAAAGGAAAAAACAAAACAAAAAACGAACGAAAACAACGAACCAAACTTCCATCGATTTCAGCAGGCTTTAGTAGGTGCAAGACACAAATTGGAACTCCTTTAAAAGAATCTTAAAGTTACAATTCATTTTTTTTGTGTGTAGAGTCAGCTACTTCTGTCTTTCTTTTGTTTTGGTAGATGTCTTGTCCTACTACATTTGTTTTATATATTTTAGATTTTCTTTATATAGAAATACAGAAGTGGACACAGGCATGTATAGATACAGTAATCTCATCACAGATTGATACAGCATCTAAATGATGTCCTGGTTTATCACTTGTGCWCTTAGCTGCTATGATAAAATTTACACTTGCTTATTAGATGCAATTGACTGCACTCAAGCAGAGTCAAACAGAACTTTATGCTGATAGTGCACAGATAAATCACTTTAGGTGAGAGGGAATCCAGCTTTGTAACCATCCTTATCTCACTGGTAATATGATTTTCAGTTCATACATAATAGTGTTTATTAGAATTAAATTAGTACAGATGCTGCAGTGGAAAAGGACATGTCCCATTGCCCAACATCCTCTGCAGCTTTACACATTTTCTGTGGGCATAACTGATCAACCTCTGAACTTCTCAGCTGAATCAAACTTAAAATTAGACMAAGTTTATTAGGAGATTTGGAGATTCTCATGCTTTTTGTGGAAATAGAATTTTAAAATATTGTCCTTACTTTTGTGCTCTCACTAGTACAACTTAGTTCAACTGCAAAAGCCAGTTGGCTTTCTTTTGAGATACCAATTTGTAATCTGCACAGCAAAACAAGCCAGCAGAATCAATGGCCTTAAGGAACAGCCATAAGGAGATCATGCTCCCAGAGACCAATTGTATACGACCCCGACTTGGAAGCGAGGCACAACAATTGCATGCTTTGATTATTTCTACTAGGACCAAGCTAATGGTATACSAGCTCTTGAAGCTAAATCTAAACCAAAGGAAAGGGGCAAAGGGGAAAAAGGAGAAATGTAATGATTTCTCAGATGATAAACCCTCACAACCTGCGCTACAACACATCTCCGAGAAGCGAAAAACAGGAAAAAGGACACGACCCTTGACAAATCTACTTACTGGATAAGCATCAGAATCATCATTGCTCATCTGCAGAAACCTCTCAGGCCTTGCTGATGAATGCTCTGGACCCTGGCAATCATATRATCAGATAAAACAATGTTAAAAAGCCAAACTAGCAGTTAGACAGTGTAGGTCACTCTGTGCAGAAGTGCTTCCCCAGGACCTGCAGCAGAACCGACATTCTTGGTCACTCTTCCATGGGCTATTTTCAAAGGAGCCAATTAGTTTTCAAAATGARCTCCAATGAATTTATTATTTGCAATAATTTCTGCCTGTCTCAGTGCATCTGTGCAGCAAAGATCTGTGCAGGTTCATGYGGGGACACAAGAATGACCTTTTTTAATGCAGGGCAAAAAGGAGGAGGAGGGATGTCAGCAGGGCAAACGCTACGTGTTTCGCAGTGCACTGCAGAGCCTCACACTTCTCCACAACTTCACTTGCTTGCTGAACAGCAGCAAACACTGTTTAATTGTTGATGCCCTCTGCTCTACTAGCTACACATGCAGACTCGGGACCTCTCTGCTACCATAGCTGCTCAACACAGGAAAAAATACCCTAAATGAACACTTCTGCTAAGAGAGATCCAAATGCACATGATCTGCCAAACTAGCCTGTGCTTAATTATTGGATCTTCAAAAGGGATTTTGTATCCTGACAACTACTGAACTCTCAAGTCCTCTTTCTCACTAGCAGCTCTCAAAGCAATCTCTTTTAACCCATAGTGTTAGCCCCACTTTAGAGTAACAAAACACTTAACACATATGCTGGGTGGGCGGAAACAACATGAGGAATAAGGAATGTAACGGAATCTGTTATCTCCCCCCTCTCAAATCTCTCTTCAGCTCTTAAGCTAAAGTCATTTATAAACAAGTTTTTCTTCTTCCATTGTAATTTCCTGCATCAAAACCTTATGTATGATCTCCAAATTCTCACTTGYGTGCTAGTCAGGAATCTATCTTCGTGTAACACAAGGTACTCTCTGCTTTTCACTTACTACTCCGAGGACTAGGGGATACAAAGGAAAAAAATACTATGTTTCTCAACTGGCAAGAAAAGAAAACCACAGAGAGTCTAGAACCTTTGCCCTCATACAAGTCTTCTTTTGAAGCCTGTATCTACTTTTTGGGTGCCAAATACTCGGGTCATAAGCAGACAGAGGCTGGGAAGAAAGATGCAAAGCCAAGCGAAACTGTGGAGCACGGCAGGAGCTAATACCCTAACACTGCCACAGCACTGCTGTGCGTTTGCTGTAAGCCGAGCCCCACAGCAAGCACAGGCCTCCCCAGCGGCAGAGTGGGCAGCCGGGGCAGTCTGTACTGGGCTGGAAGCAGAGCTGGCACGAGCAGCGACCACCGGAGCGCGGCGGGAGGGCTCCCTAACACACACACACACACACACACACACACACACACACACACACACACACGTGTGTCGTCCGCAGCAGCCTCCGCCCAGGGCCTCCGAGGCCGCCTCCAGCTCTCATTTCGCTGCTGGCGCTGCCCATTAGGCTGCCAGCGCCTGCTCGGTGGGATGCAGTAGGGTTTACTTCTACTGCCAGCGCCTATATCCAGTGAGACATACACTGAATCCATTAGCTACTTTCAAATGAGTCACCAAGGAGCCATAAAGCAGCAGTCTTTCAATCACACCTGCCTGGAAATGCATGACCTAGGGGTGAAAAGATCCATATCCCATTACAAATCCTTCCCCAAATCATTCTGCCCCCAATGCCACTGATACAGAAAATAACTCTCCTGTAATGGAAAGCTCCTCTGGGAAGAAAACGGATTTCAATAGGCATGTGGGATTCTTAAACATTCAGAAAACACCTGACACCAGTGGCTAAATAAGCATGTTCCAGAACATCTGGGCAAATCCTCGCTGCCAAACGGCTAAGAGTAAAGGCTGATTAAGAGTGCTACAAACAGCAGAGATGCAGCTCCCTTCTTTGGAGCTTCCCTGCAGAGGGATGCACTTCCTCCTGAGAGCCATTCAGCCTATGGATATGGATTCATTMTGAGTCCCAAAGGGCTTACCTAAAGAAATAGTAATTTATAAAAACAACTTTGGTGAACAGCAGACTTTTCATTCTTGATACAGAAAAGGGTATGGAAAGCCATTCATAAGTCATGAATACACATCAGTATATCACATCGGGAATAAACTAAGCTGTTTGGAAGAACAGTAATGACTACAGGTGTGCAAAAAAGGGTCTTCAGTACCCGGAGATGGAGATTGCCACTAAAGGACATAATATGCTTTTCTTAAGAGAAAACTGTCAGTGAATTTGCAAAGGAGAAAATCGACCTAGCATGATATTGGCTTGTAACCTTTGAAAGTAATTTCATTTCCTTTTGATCTCCCTGACCACTCTACACATGGTCCCCGTTGCAGCACTGAAGCAGTCCAATACAATAAATACAACTCACCTCCCGACACCCCTGTGAGACTCTCAAGGCACCTTTCGATTTTAGGGATAGGGAACAGGATGTTTGACACACTGCCACGGGCGCTGGTCAGCAACACTCACCATGCCTTCCATCCCATGCGGCAAGAGCAGAACGATCCCATTGTGCCGGACCCACTTGGCCTGGCCCGAGCTGATGAACTGGTCTATAATGCACTGGGCCGTGTTGTGGAAGTCGCCAAACTGGGCCTCCCAGCACACTAGGGCGTTGGGACTTGCCATGGCAAAGCCAAGCTCAAAACCTGAACAACACGCAGGAAGGAAAAAAAGAAACAGGCTAGCTGAGAATTCTACTCATTTTTCATTTAAAAAATAAATTAAAAGGAAAAACAATAATTAAGGGTATATTACAAAAAAGCTACTTGTTGATATTCTGACTTGCACAGCCCTGTCCAGTACTGTGGATTTCCCTCACTTTTCCCCCCAAGACACTGAACAGTGTTACTGGTGACATCAGGCTCCAGTCCATAGGCCGTCCATGCTCTTCAGACCTTTATATAAGCTTGAACATTAGAGGTGCATGAGACACACCTTTGCAATACCTGTCTTTGGTAAATTTGGTTATTACTTTGGCAGAAACACAGTAACCAGCTAAATGTGGGGCTAAACACATATGTGCAATCTCTGCCCCTGTTTTCCCTTTGGTATTCCACACAACTGAGTCTGGAGGGCTGTCTAATATCTATTCTCATTTTATACAGCTGTAACTGTGAACAGCCAAAGTTTGAGCTCATCGAGGTCAACTGCACAGCACTACTCCAGAGGCCCTGACCGAGGAAGGATTGGTTCAGTACACACAGAGAGCAAATATCTGAAGGATATATGTGTTTTCTGTTGAGCTTGACACCTTTTGCACAAAATCCAAAGTTCATTTCAAATACAGAACTGTAACATGGGAATGCTCTCACTGAGGGTTACAAAGTAATTAGAGTGTTTTATTTAGAAAACTAAGATGAGTTGCAACTCTTCCCCGATTAACTGCAACTTTCTCCAAAATGTGACAATGAACTACGCAGATCACTGAGGATTTCTTACCTTGGTAAAACATCAAGTAATTGATTATGTAATTAGGTTGTGGAGAGGGAGTCCCATCCCACCAAAGGGGATCTATACTGAATTCCTCTGCTCTGTTTATGCTATTTACATGCTACTGTCACTYCCATTTTTGCCAGATTTCACCTCTCTCTTTTCCTCCATTTCACTGAAGTCAYGCTAGACAAACACAAACGCTGTTTTACGGTATCAGCTTGACAGCAGGCCCAGCCCCAGCAAAACTGCACACGCTTCCAGGTAACAAACTGCCTGTTCTGCTGCATTTGCCCCACTGGCCCCTAAGCCCCCACACAGTCACAAGAGCAGCATATGCTTCATTAGCACAGAAATGGGCCAAGGCAGAAGTTCTGGATGCAGAGCAAAACTCCTTCATATCTGACAGCATGGCACACTTCCCCGATGCTATGTGTAAGCTCAGTTTTTTTCCCCTTCCTTATCTTGCAGACTCAGGAGTACTGGACAAGAGTACCACAACACTCTGTAAAACCTAACATTTTGCATAATATTTCCTATGCCCAAAATCCAAATCCAATCACAAATCAGATACCTAATAAGCCTCTTACGTATTCTGTACTAGTAAATCCCAGAGAACCTACTTGGTGACGAGCAGTATTTAGTAGATTAACCTATGGGAAATCTGTGAAGAGTCTTAGGAACTGCAATTTCTGATTCTGATCCCCCCCCGCTAGTACACAACTCTCAAAGCAGAAAAGTTTCAGGAACTCTGGAAAACTCTGAACTTCCTGGCAGAGAGTAGCATCTCAATACGCACATGGCTAAATTTCCAAAGAGGATGGCTCTTGCTGATGCCCTGTACAAGGTCTGAAGCCCTGTTCCTTTTAGAACACAATTTAAATCTCTGCTCTCCTTATTTGTGTGACTTTTGCTTTTAAATACCATGCAAACAACAGAAAAAGTCTATACAAGCCCTTCGATGCATGTTCCCAAAGGTATTTGCRAAAGAGATTTCCCTAGAGAGACTTGAAGCCCATTCTAATTTTACACAAGCATTAAGAAATCATTTCTACTGATTAGGTTACATGGTTGAGAAAATATGCATTATGTTCAAGGCTTATTTGCACATATGTGCTCTCTATAAGGATGGAATAATCTAGCTTTTAGAGAAGAACAAACCTGGGGTTCTGACCACTTGGAATTACCAATAGTCACACAGTCCCTTTCGAAGGGCATGGTGTGCTCTGCACGTGTTTTAGTGCTCAGAGTGCACACGTTATTCTGTTCTGCACACCAAGAACTCTCTGCAAGTTTCACAGGGGAAGTCACCATCGCTCACTTCCTATCGTGCTGCTCATTTCATGCTAATAATCACCCCAAGGTGATTCTGTCAAAGGATAAGCTGCACAAAAAAGAGTGATCTCAACACAGGTACCTTCTGCAAGCTTTCTGGCAGACATATAACTATTTGGAGAAATATATTCAAGTGCAATCTATACATCCTGATATTAATTGTGTTAAAAGTAGCACTCCAAAGACTACCGTATCATGGAACATGTGTCTGTGGTATATCCATCTTTGTTCAATCAGACTCCAAAACTCATTTTCCACCATGCAAATGACAATGAGAGTTCATCCTTTTACCACCAGCAATTGCTAGGAAGTGTGCCTAGAATTACTGCTCCTGCCTGCTTGTGGAGAAAAGCGTTTTAACTACTGGACCTGAAATACTGAATAAAAAATCTCAAGTCATTATTGGAAAGATACCTAAACAGATGCAATAGGAGGCAGAACTTTTCTTGAAAGGGATTTCTTCAGGCTCCAGATGAGTCAAGGTCATGGAAGGTGATCCCAAGCTGGAAAGACTCCACAGGTCAGGACATGATACCCAAACTGCAGAGGAGCAGGATTCTACTTAGACCCCTCATGAGAGCTTAACGGCAGCCCTGAGTAGACAGTTAAAAATCCTCAGCAGAGACCTTGCAGAATTTTATTGCTTTTATCTCCAGAGACCAGAACTGAGCAGTGTTGTTTCAGAATGTCGTGCAAAGCTTGTGAGCTTAAGCAATTAACTCTTCTATAGCTAGAGACTTAGAAAACACATTTAAGCTACAGAAAATCTACTGGCTGAGACATAGTTCTCAAAAATTCAAAGGTGAAGAATCTGCACAGCAGAGCTTCCAATCAGCTCCTGAACTCCTTGCAGCCCCTAGGAGCTCAGGGCACCAAGGCCTGGGAGAGCAGGGCCCAACGCAGCAGTGCAGTTAACTTCCAAACCACGGRGAGATAAGAAAGACAAATCTCAAGCACTTGACTAGGGTTGCAAAACTAATGCTTTAATTGCTGGAGTTCATTAAGGTCCCTAGATGAGAGGCAGAGCAGAAATGCTGGTTTCTATTAGTCCATTCCTGCTGTGCTCCCTTACTGTTCTGTCACTCCGGCGGAGAAGGGGGTGTTGCCAAGCAAAGCGGCAGCTTATACAGCACATTCAACTGTATTTTTATCCACAGCACTTCGCACAGCTGTTGTAAGAACTACAGCTTTCAGTCGAAATAAATAAGGCTACAGCCTAATTGAATATGATTTCTAAGTGACTTAAGGCATGAATGTTAAAAAAAAGAAATCTATAAATGGCTTATTGGAATAGAGATCTAAAATTAGAAGAAAGAAAATTATGAGACAGATTTATGTCATGTAAAACATCTAACCTCAGGGACTAGCAGAGGGACATGCATCCTCTCACAAACCCACGCACAGCCTGGGAGAGAGGCAGGTAAACAATACCTGCTTGGTGACTGATTGCTGACTTTTGGAGCTACATGTATGTGTCATGTACATGTTACTATAGTCCTTACTATAGTCTCAGATAACAGCATTTCCCAATTAACCTTACAAGAAATATACTGTTCTGAATGAGCAGTAACTTTACATATTCCATGCTAAGAGTRTACTGTGAAAGAAGCTGAAATCAATACCTTTTTTTCCCCTTTCCTGTTGGGCATCATCTTCCCCACCAAAAAAAATGGACTCTAGGTCTCTTGAGGTTCAGGCACTATGAACTATGCACTAACCCCAAGTCTGCCATGCTTGGAAGTTCCCTGTGAGTCCCTAACATGGGATGTTACAAGACCTCTCAAAACAACCACTGAATCTGACCATAAATAAATAAATAAATAAATAAATAAACAAACAAACAAACCAACCAACCAACCCTCACTATTCCTGGATGGGAAGAAGAAAAAAAAAAAAAAGTCTTTAGGGTATTTAAAAAAGCTGCACAAGAAACATCATGGATTGACTTTAAGATAGTTTTGCTTTTCTTCTGTCTTAATCAGCAAATAAACTACAGAAAACTTCTTGGATTAAGTCACTTCGCACAGCAATCAGCTACGCTCCCAGACATACATTTTTGATAAAAGAAAATCTATAGCTTTAATGAGTGGATGCATAACTAAATTGGAAGAGCCTGGATAGAGTTAAAAATAGTAGGCATAGGATATCACAGGTGAGATAAGAAAACTAGACATTGCTAAATACTCTGATTTAATGCTCCATCACATAGACCTTCATACTTGCTGTATCCAACGCAACTGCTTGAGATAACAAGACTGACTTTGCTCCTCCCTAAGGGAAAATCTTGCTGGAGTAGCATTTTAGTGGAGCAGCAACAGCCCAGGCACTCCTCATCAGCTCAACAAAAACCTTGGTGCAAAGCTCACAGCTCTGCACTGGTGCCACTCCTGCCTTTAGCACCTGACAAGCAATCTGGGGGTCCATCACGCAGCGCTGGTCAATCCGTTTTCATTCAGCTCAAAGTCACAGGCACTAAGGGAATTTCCAAAACGATTCTGAGGCGTTGCACATTTACAGAGCTCAGAACATGCTCAGGATAAGAAAACCCATACCAAAACTGTGAGAAATGGCACATAATTGCAAACAAAAATTCTCTGACATTACACTCTCCCTCTTTATCTACAGCAAATATTTTTCCTTTTATTTATACATATATTCTCTTTCTCCTATCTAGAGATCATATACAAGCATTTATTTACTAGCTTAAAGATACACAAAGATTTTAGTTTTGCTTACACCAGTTCTGCTATAGAAYTAACAAATACCCCAAAATCTCAGCTCTTCAACCCATGCTCCAGCTATTCAGTTTTGCAATACTCAAATGTTACTACTAGTAATATGTAACACGTATCATATGTACATGTTCATGCTACATGTTCAAATATTTCTGAACACTTTAGGTAAGCAGTTCACAATTACCACCTTTATCTACCTCRTTGCATTTGTCCTCCCTTATACCAGCTATGAAATGGACATAATTCATTATTTACCCAAAGGATTAATAACATTCTTGATAAATTATTAGACGTATTTGTTTTGTGCTCCGTATTATTTGCCACCCCCAGCACACCACAGTGAGGTTATCTGTTCACTGCTGCTGAACATAAAATGTTTGTCCAGTTCAAAAACATAATTCACAATGATTAATGCTACAAATAAGAAGGATTTGTTTTCTGGAAACAACACACTCACACTAGCACTCTATCATCATATAAGGCTAGGATGTCTTTTTATATTTATATTCCAAGGTGTCCCTGCTTTTGTGGACAGTCCCTCCCCTTTTGTTAAAGCATTAGCTGCATGTTCTGACAGTGCCAATATGAGCTACAACAAACAGATTCTTCCAACTGAATCACACAGTTGTAAAACTTGGAGATGTCTGTTAAGGGATATTAGAATCTGTTTAACTGTTGGACAGGTTTTCTTTTTAATAGTCTCTTTCTTATGAGTCTTGTCTCTGCTCTGCCAAACTTCTTCTCCAAAATTATTTTGTCACCTCTATRTAATTTGCTATTGGGCACTAATAAGATACTGGCGCACACTGTCGCTTTTCTACTGAAAGCTAATTAACTCTCCCAAATCACACTGGTCATTACAGGAAGGTTTTCAGTAGTCTATATAAATATATTATAGGGAGAATTTAAATAGTAAGTTTTGCTCTATGGGAAAACTAAAACCTGTGCAGATTCAAATGCCAACTACTAYAGGTAGCATATTCAAAAAATTAAAGAACAACTGAAGTTTTCCTTCTAATTTTTAATTTATGCTAAAATAAAAGGTTTAAGGGCAATCAAATCTCTTAGATACTGGGACATACCCAAGACGCCGTACTCGGACAGGGAGCTGTTGCACACGGTATAGGGGGCCTGCTGCTCCCAGAGGTGATTCATGGGAACACAAGTCCTTTTGTCAACTTCTTGGTCGTGAAGCACATGATGACGATGGCTGCAAAGAGGTGGGGAAAGGAATCCATTAGCTAAGAACAACCTGGGGCTACAACAGAGCCATTTTAAAAGATTAACTACCAAAGGTAGAAACTCCAGAAAGCAAGCAAGCAAGCAATCTTTACATCTGGCATACATAACACTGTGGTTGGATGAAACACAGAAGTACCTTTAATAAAATTGCTACACTATGAGGACTTTCACGCACTTGCTCTGACACTCATGAAACCTGAAAATACACTGTCATTACTGGAATTTGGAGAAGCTAAGGGGGAGGTTATAAAATATTTTAGACTGATAAAGTCAAATTTCAGAAGATCAAGCTGTTATTAAAGCCATTTCATTGTGCCTCCCTGGCATATCCTATTATTCTCTTCCTTGAGACAATAATTGTTTGTCTTTTAGGAGAAAAGAAAAAAACAAAACAAAAAAGAAAACACTAAGGAGCTTCTCACAGCACCAAGACTGAAGTAGTATCCTCTTTCCTGCCATTTCCATTCATACCATTTACAGCTCTCCAGCCCCCCATTAATCAGCATTAGAATGGGGCACCAAGGAGCACTAGCAAAACAGAGATGAGTCAAGTAATTACTGCAATCCATTAACTCTCTGAGCAGCCTAACTGAGTGAATCACACCAATATGTCCAGCTTTACAACTGCTAACATAAGGACTGCTATTATGCTGGTAACAACTACTGCATGTTGTATAGCTGCCAGCACTGGAGACTGGAGCTTTCTCTATATCCAGTTTGCATAATGAATGCTAGCAAAAGAGCTCTGAAGTCTATTTAGAGGGCAACAACAGGAGAAAAGACAGAACCCTTGAAGAACAGCACAGGGAGGCAGGCAGAAAAGGGAAAATATGCACAGGAAGACCAGCTGTAAGAAATTATTTTTGATACTATCATTTCACATTTGTCATTCTATCAAAAATAAAAAGACCTAAATAGACAGTAAACTTTTAGACCCTGAATTATGAAGCACCACCAAAAGGCAGTAATAATGAGCCTGGATGGGCAGCTACACAAGTCAGGTTTTGCTGCTGAAGAGCTGTCAGGGTTCCTGATAGGAAACAGAACAGTCAAGTCTCTTCCTCTCCCTTCCTTCTCCAAAGTGTGGCTCCAGAACGAGAAAGGGCCAAGAGCTTTTATCTACAGCATTATCTCTGTCTTCCCTCTATTAATAACGTTAAGTGGAGTACTGAAACAGGAAGAAAACAAGCCATTACATTTAATATTCACATTTAACATTCTTCAGATGGGAGAAGTAGCTTAGGTCTGTAATATTCTGGGTTCTGCAGGATAAAGGCTCTAGAATGAGAAGACAGAGGTTCTGGGATCTAGAAAGCATCCTACAGCTTGCCTGAGGCGACTCTCCTGACTAGCACTACTACAGCCTCACTCAACTTGCCATGCAGTCATCTCACTGCATATTGAGATGATCTGAATGCTTTTTCCCCATTATGGCAATACAGTATCTCCATTCTTCCCAAATAACAGCTTATGCTCCCTCTTCAATTAGATTCAGCTAACTGAGATTTTATGTACTTTAAAGATTTTGGAGGAGGAAAAAAGTATCTTTTAATACAACATTTGAGRGAGGATGCAGTGACATGTGCTTTTCTAGCACTTGCAGTTGTTTTCCCCACCACCACCCCAGAAAGAATACACAGGCATTTGCAAAAGTCTCCAGCTGTTAAGGGAGTCCCATTTATTATAAATGGCAGAGAACCCTAACCACAACTGAAAAAAAAAAGCAGCTCCATTTGAAATGGCAGCATATTTCAGATGTGTTTGTACCACAAATTAGCGGTCCACCTATTCCTAGCTAATATGTGCAAATCTGAGCAGGTTGTTTTTTCTAAAGCATGTTTCTTATTTTCCCTATGGTGTTGCGAACACAATATTTATTTTTCTCTTGGACATACATTAAAGAAATATGGCCAATCGTTCTGGAAAATCCTCTTCCATCTGTTACACAGTTGGTATTCTCATGAGAGCATTGAGCACAACTAAGCACTCACTTGAAATAGGTAGTTAGGTTGCTGACCAATGTACATGTGCGTTACCTCCCTCAGAAGGTGCTTACCACTTTACAAGACCAATATTCCTGAAATCAAGGAGGAGAAATATGGGGGAAATCTCCTGATTCTCTTCGTCTTAAGGTCTTGCCTGAATCATTTTATTAAACTGCCATTAGAATGGGAGCAAAAAGAAGAAAGCCTGAAAGACTGGATACCAAGCGAAGTTCAGCACAGAAACACAGAAGGCAGGCACCAATGCTCATCGTCCTCTTTGGCAAGCAGAGGGCAGCTGCTACTCCATCCATGCCCAGCAACAGGTTTTGCATCAAATGGGTCAATCAAATACATCATTAAGATTTTACTCCGTGGAGAATCAGGTAGGGAAAAGCAGCATTTATATTTTACCAAGTGATCAGATTCCGTGTTCCTTCTAGCTCCATGTTCAATAAGAGTCTCCACACACAAGATCTTGTTTCACCTAAAAGAAGCCTTGCCAAGTGGCAATACGTTTGTTTCAAAGGATACTGGAGTTAAAAGCAGTTATGCTTAATGTTACTTGAAGACTTGAGAATCTGCAGCAGCAAAACAACTTTCCTCAGTGTTTAGATGGCTTGCAGTTGAATTTCTACTCCAAAAGGAAAAAAAGTCTGCTTTTCAGCAAAAGGAAGTAAAATATCTAGAAATATTTGTTCTTCCTTAAATACAATTCTTTGAAATGTTCTCTCTGCAGACTAGCAGGAAATTGGATTCCGCTTGACCACCAGCACCTATGACAATCAGATGAGGCCAAACAGCCTCCAACTGCCCTTCCCTTCAACAGACTATGCTCAGCATGCTAAAGTGTTGAGGAATGGCCCAGCATTCAACAGTTGTTTCAGTACTCACCTGAAAGTACCTCTTTCCACATCCTGGCCACTTAGTCGGACATGGATCCCTTCCTTCAGAAAAGAGCCAAAAGCCATGTACTCTGCTAAGGCCCAGTCGACGACTCTGTTCTTAGTCATCTCCAGGCGGGCTCTCAAAATCCGTGAGAGTCCTATATTGGAATAAAGATCAGAAATCTGTGAACTTACTTGAAAGACATTCTACATTCATAGAACATTCACCTTTGTCCCTGCTGGTACAGGATGCATGAGAACAGAAAGTAACATCAAATTTGAGTTGCTACTTTTAGTTGCTGATTCACTGCCTTTGTCAAAAGCAGAACAATGCAATGAAGTTAAGCAAACCCAATACAGTCTACAAATTGTTTTGCTAGACCTGAACTGCCAGGGAAGTAAAATATTTTTTTCCCAGGCAAAGGGTTGTATATTATTCATATCTTGTTTTTGCAAAAGAAAGAAAATTAAAAAAAGAAGAAAAAAAATACTCTTTCCACAGATCCTAAGCATTTTCCTATAGGCCAGGAAAAAAAAATCTCTAAATAAAGTAGCTCCATCTTTCCCCATGGAACTAGCATATCACTCTCCCTGTAAGGTTGCTAGAGTCCAATCAGAAAAAGAATTAGCTGAGAACTTATCCCCAATGCCAGAGTCCACCCCTCTCCTCCCTTCCCCCTTTTTTTTGAGACACCCATATAATAGACACTAGATTCAGAATGGAATCTCTTCAGACCAAAAGCTAAGACCTTCTGATAAAATGCTAGATTTGTTATCACTAACACTAAATAACTACACTGAAAGAAAAACTGAACTCAAATTTATTTGCAGTTTACTGTACTAAAATTAGACTCATTGCACATCAACATTGTCCTATCTGAAAAAAATGAGCTAAATCCCTGAACAGAAAGTTACAAGCGAAGAACAAGAAAAGTGACTTAAGTGGACCCCAAATTGTCACCAGTTTCAACATTTAAAAAATAATAGTAAAATAAAAAGAAGCCAATAATAGTGCCCCATGAGATGAGTACCTTTGCAAGAAGTCCCATGAACGCACTGCACAGAGGCAACATTTTACAAAAGGACTGTATTAACTTAACATTAATAAATGGAGAAAATAGCTATTTTAATGAGGTATGGAACAGAAATGGCATGATATTGAAAGAATTTTCAAATGAGAACAAGCAGCAGGACCCCATCTGCCACATTCTCCAGAAGAAGTTACTGCTGCTCTCCCCTTTGTGAAATGGCCCATCAGCAATTCATGTAGAGAATTAAGACACCTGAGCAAGAAACGCAGGCCCCGAAGGAAGCAAGGACTCCAGCTGACCTGCGTGGATTTTGAAGTCTTTGACTGGCACTGAACTGGCCACATTGCCAATGTGAACCAGCAGCTCTTCTGAAATGCCAGTTGGGGGACACGACATGCTCTTGGGCTCTCCATCCACATTAAAGAAACCTGGAAGTAAAAGATTAAGAGATTTCTACCTTATTTGCAATTTATTTTAAAATCCACAGCTCATTAAGACATTCTAAGTGGCACATTAACCTAGTTCTTCACCTTCCAGAAGGGAGGCACAATCATTTCCATTGCCTGCATGACAACAGGACTTGATCTCACAGGCACACAACGACCTGTTTTGTTTCTACTTTGACTCCCAGTGAATTAAGTGAATTACTTGATTTAACAACAACAACAGCAAAGTAGTGGGAGATATTTGAGGTATCTTCCTTCTTCCTAAAAAGATGAACAGCATTACAGGTATAACATTTCTCTGCTAGACTGAAAAATCTATCTTTCAATATTTTCTATAAAACACTCCTCTTTCAAAACAAATTGGGAAATGCTTCACTGCTAATACAGACAAACCGTAAGTCACATTTTACTGCAAAGGAAAGCTGCCCAACAAAAATAGTAAAGAGTCCTAGAATATGGAATTAAAAGGAAAACACAGGTACTTCAAACAGTAGAATGTATGAAAGGACATTTCTTACCAGGCCAAGGTGAATCAAGCCAGTGCTTAATATGTAGAATCTTATTATCCTTAGATCTAGTATATGCTTCTTCACATATTCTGTCATACTTGGCGATTTCTTCCTGGAGGAAGAAAAAAAAAAAAAAAAAAAAAAAAACACTCCTCACACTTTTAGAAGAGATAAACACAATACCCTGGCATTCTAAAATTCAGGTATGACAGCAATGACATAACAAAATTTCATTATAAATATATAAATAAATCTATTTTACCTGGAATAAAATTGTCTTCTAGAAACATGCTTACCTACATCATTCAAAATAATTTGTTTATTGGGCAAGTGCTACAGAGAAAAGGACCAAGAGCGTAAGTAGCCAACAGTACTCCAAAAATCAAAAGAATTGAAGTGCTCTAATTTACAATGAAAATTGGAATTTCTGGCTATTATACCTCAGGCTGCAGCAGTTATGAAAYACTGCAAAAGATCCTCCAAGATAACTAGTCCAGCTGTAGATTCTAACTAAAAAACTACTAGCTCACACTTCAAAGACAGTAAGTGCAAAGCCACAATCTGAAGCAAAATGCACATGCACTCACTGCTTTTTGGTTGCTCTGTAATGCTGCTGTTGYTACAGTTAGTCACACAGCTTTGCTCTAGAAGATTAAGGCAAAGATCTAACCAGTTTAATACTTCCCCCAAGCTCCACATATTTCATCTTTCCAGAATATTTTGAGTGATCTCTGATCTCAGTTTCATTATTTCAAGAAGCTAATAAACTTTAAAAAAGATCTTTGCTTTAAATATGCACAACAAGCTGTTGGATACAAGTATCACTTCCAGGCGATCAACATGAAACCACCATCATAATTATGATCATTCAAATAATATCTTACTGCTGAATCATATGTAGCCTTTAGTTCTGCTGACATACTGTACCTCAAACTCCTGCAGGGTTACGGTCCCATCTGCAATCAATTTATCAGCATACTTCTTCAGCACCGGCACCTGTTTATGAATCTGCTTGTACATTAGCGGCTGGGTGAACATCGGTTCATCCATTTCATTGTGCCCTCTCCTTCGGTAACAAACCTACAAAGGATAAGACTGTTTCTGTTGGTAAGGAAAGACGTCAAACTAAAACTTTCAGTTTCATGCTTTTACAGTGATTTTAAAAGTCTATGGAATAGAAATGCTTATCAATTCCTGCAAGTATTTTTTAACGTGTTTCTTGATTGGGTCTTCCCAGGTACATAAGAGACAGTAGTATACAATACAGAGTGAAGAACTAAGAAAGCAGAGACTTACCAAGTCAACAACGACATCTTTATTGAATGTGTTTCGCCATTCTGCAGCTACACTGCACACATACATCACTGCTTCAGGGTCATCAGCATTCACATGAAAAATAGGAGCATTTACCACACGAGCAACATCAGTAGGGTATGGAGACGAACGGGCCATTCGCGGGTCTGTAGTGAAGCCAATCTAAAAACCCCAGAAATTGCAATAAAATGATGTGGGAATCTCCCTCTACTTTGCTTTGAATKCTTGAGGTTTTCATTTAATAGTCATACACATGCCAGTAAACTGAGCAGCTATACGAGCTTCTTTTTGCTAATTTGAAAAGAAACAAAGCAAACTAAACCCAATTAAGTGTTATGAACTGAATAAAATACACATAGGTGATATATTACCCATTCAGAGCTGTTAGATACTATGACCATTTTCAGGAACATTCTAACCACTCTTACTAAACAGAGGGAGTAGCACAGTCAGCTAAGAAAAGAAAACCAAGAGCACAAGAACAAAAAAGAAAAAGAAATACACTAGCAACTAGTAAGGAAATACATCAATTGGAAGATGTTCTGCTTATTACCTGGTTATTGACCACAACGTGAATAGTGCCATTTGTGGTATAAGACGGGAGGTCACTAAGATGAAATGTCTCATAAACCACTCCCTGTCCTGCAAAGGCAGCATCCCCATGTAATAATATGGACATAACCTAAGAGGAAGGATTATACATACACGTATTAGAAAGAAAACAAACAAACAAAAAACCACCACAATTTAAGTTCCTCAAGAAGATCTGTCTGCTCTGTCGACAGTATTTACAGAACAGAACTGTACTTTTATCATAAGCCATAGAATGGTCTGCATTCTACCTGCTTCATTCAATACTCAGAGGAAAGTTTTAAGGTGACTTCTCTCCCTGAAGTTACCCGAGAGGTCAAACACCTTATCCTGTTCAGTGGGTAGTATGCTCTTTTGTCAAGGAGGAAAAGAAGATTTCTCCACAATACAAAATTATTGGCAAACCACTTCATTAAAAAATACTGCAAAAAATACTGCAAAATCAAGAAGAGTTACCACAACATTAAACTATTTATACCTTTTTTCCTGCTGTATCCCCTCGATAAAACTGTTCGGCTTTAGTCTTTCCCTGCACAACTGGATCAACTGCTTCCAGATGAGAAGGGTTGGCCATCAGGGACAGAGTGATTTTCTTATTTGTTGCTCGGTTGATCCTCTCGTGGTACATTCCCAGATGATATTTCACATCCCCAGATCCCTAATGTGCAAGACATGGTCAAGATTCAAGCACATCATTCATACATATTGTATGTCTAAAATKTATCCTTTATCCTGAAAAACAAGTCTAGGTAGGTATGCATCAGTATGCGCTGTAGTTTTCTCACATTTGAGCACTGTTCCTATTTTATTATCTCAGTGTCACTATTCAACACCCAGCTCATATTTGCAGAATACTGACACTGTTTATATGAAACAAAGACAGAGAGCRGGGATATTTTTTAGACTTTGCAAATGAGACACTTCTGTGTATTAGGGATCAGGTGTAGTCTTTAAACTCTTGATCAAATTTCATCAAATCATAACCCTCAAACTGAAAAACAAAATGATACTCAAACCAGAAAACCCTTTTCAGAAGATGATAATGCTATTGTGATAATGATCATGACCAAAACCAAGTACAGACCAAATAACTACTTTGAACAGATAGATATCTATACTTTTCTGTAYAGATAAAATGGCAAAGCATCTCACCTCATCAGCTGCTTCAAGTTTGGGATCAAACTGACAGAAGATCTGTTCCAACTCTTTTCGGATAACATTAGCCAACACATTCAGTCTACCCCTAAGAAAAAAATCAAACATAGTTATGGCTCAAGCAGGGAAAACAACAGTACTACTAGCATAAAACTTACAAAACTAGCAAGCCCTTTAKTTCAGATATTTGCAGTTGAGAAGTTTGCTTTACACTTTTAAAATTTAAAAGCTTTATTCTCCCTTTTCCCTTCCTACTGCAAATTACCTCCAATGCATTCCCACTAACACTCTAAATAAAGTATCTAATTATGCAAATGTGACCAATAGTTTTTATAGTCACCTAGCAGCTACAACATGACAATATTAACGTAGACTGTATAAGTGTGATACCATCTCAACTTCTTTTCTCTGTTCGAGACTCTGTACAGTGGGGTACATAACACATATGCTTGCTGCTTCAAAGCACACTGATATGACTCTCACTAGTGTTCACCTGTGAGGCCTTTAACCTCTTATTGAAAAATATCTTTATTACAATTATACGTTCCTTTTACTCATTATAATTGACTTTTTCTTCCCTAGCTTCTCCAACACTGACTTTGTTAAYAAAGTTTTAATTCTACAATCCAAAACCAGTCTCGAGTTGAGGGGTTTGCACTGACATTACCTGTGAGGCATCCCCATTATAACATATTCAATTCCCATTTCACTGGATTTATCAATGATGGTCTTAAGTGCAGGAATCATCACTTCGCATCCTTCCAAACCAAATCGCTTTTCTGAAGACCACTTSCGAGCAAGGAAGTCTTCAAATCTTTGGGGAAAAAAAAAGAAAAAGAGAGTGAGCTCATTTGTATTAAAAAAAATAACGTAGCAAACATTTATTATCAAACATCTTGTAGCAAATGAGACGGTCTCAATCTGTTTTAAAGCATCTGGCAACACGTTTGCAGATCTCTTGAGATAAATCTGATGCAGGACAGGGGGAGCACATGGGAAGGAATTTAAGGCTCCCTCCTTCACTTGAGAAGTGTTCACCATAACTGCCCAGGTTGAATTCTGCTCCTGCCCAACAATTTATATTGATCACTAGGAATGCAGAGCAAAAGCAGAGAAGTCTGCTCTATGGATTGAAGATGACAGATCAAAGAACCTGTGCTTTCTGGAAGCAACAGTGATTGAATACTGGAAGAAAACTGTGAGAGAAAGCACACTTATTTCATAGGCCCTTTTTAATGGGACASTGCCTCAGACTACGTGATGTAACTGCTAATACCTTGCCAAGAACAAGGACGCTGGAATCTGCCTCAGCTACAGCAGGAGAAAGATGTCARCGCTTAACAGTTCTATGTTGTTTCTCTCTTTAATGCATTTGTGCCAGAGGCAACGTGAGTGGTTAAAAAGTGCCTTTTAACAAACACTGAAAGGGTTATTTGTTGCAAAGCCTGGAGATATGGAATGCAAAGAAAAATAAATCTCCATGAACATAACTATTTTGTTACATCATCTGTGATGCATTCRGGCTGATAAGATGGCCATAAAGCATTATTACACAGCTTAGTCCTCACTCAGGATGCTGACATTTACCTCTTTAGATTGAAGTCCTAAAAGCAATGAAATGAAATATTGCCATAACACAGCAGTGTCACCTTAGCTCACCCAGCAATACCTTTACAATTCAGGCATGTTAGCAACAAGCTAGATTCTCAGCTAAAACAAATTGCCACGATTCCTCCAAAGTCAGCAGGGCTGCACAAGCTTACATAAGCTGGAAGTGAGRCTCTCATTTCTTCTGCTCGCACAGGGTGGAGCAAAGTGGTGGTTGCATACTGCATACAGTTTTCTCTTTGTAGCTGCAAGCAGAGACAGTACTGCACAAGCAGAAAGTTCAACATCAGAGGTGAACAGCTACTAAGTGTGCAGAACTGCAGTATTGCACAGTCACATCCYGCAAAGCCACATGCCACTGACTTCCCAAGGGCCATGGGTGACTGCTGCCATGAGAACCAAGTCTTATTTAGGCAGTTGCTCATGGATGGGAGAAGCTAGAATGGCTTGATCTTGCACAGGTGTAAGGAGATACCTCCCTTGTATACAAGACCAGATTTCACTTCAGCCCAGCAGAACTTAGAGAGCTCATGAGCTTTCCATGCCAGTTGACACTCAGCTTTCACAGAGAGAGCAGAGTAGCATCCCAGCACTAGCCCATCCTACCTCATTGAGCGCACCAGCCTGGCCAGCAAAGTCCTTTTCTCCTCATTAGTGAACTTCATAACACCTGGTGTCTCAAATTTCTGCCGAATCCACTGGCACTGCTCCACATCATTGATGAACATAAATTCCAGGCCAATGTGTTGGCAATAGGTATTCTAGAAGGTAAAAACATTAACAAAAAACTTTTGGGACCTAACGGACAAGCAGGCCAAAACACTTGCCTTGATTTGACTGGCATTATTTCACCTAACTCACAATTGTTCTTATGGGCATAAGTCTTTATTTCGATGGCAATAACAAAGATTTCAAGTAATATTTACCTAAATCTACCCACCTTTTTTTTTTTTTTTAATGTCACCTGAGGCCAAGGAATGAGAAGATTATTACAAATTCCCATGCATATTATCTGATAGTTGGCAAGTCTTAGAAGACTGGAAACCTGAGAAAGAACTCAAGCAGTTGAGAACAGAGAAAGCGTGAGGAGAAAAATGCAAAGATTCTTCAGATATTTCAGCATCGGTAAAAGTGTGTCCGAAGTGTAAGCCAGCATATTTCTCGTATTTACAMGACAAAGCCAAGATCTCCTCTATTCTCAGTAAATTACTTATTTTTATTCTTGCAACCAATTTCTGTAATTCATCCTCCACACTTCTATCCCTTCTTACTGCAAGGGATTCTATCATCATGCCTCTAAAATCTTGAGTTGTTTTGTACTRCAAGATGTTGAACAAACCACATATGGGAATGCTCAGTTCTTCACATTAAGCACTTCAGCACTTTGCAGATTTATTATCAGCCCTATTTGCTGTTTGGAGGGCCCCTCCAATTACAATTATTCTTTTAAAAGTCATCAAAGCTAGTTGACAATATGTGACAAAACCRTATCACCTTTCAGAGAACCAGACTGTAGGAAAGGGATCGGGGATGAAAGCAAGGACCATCAGTATCTAAATTTTTAYTAGAATTAGCTACATTTTTTTGAAATGAATTTGGTACTCAACCCACTCATTCAAGTAAGAGCCCCACTAACGTCAGGGTGGCAAGAGCAAAGCCTGCCCGTGTCAAGTAAAGTTTTTTCCTGTGACAGGAAACAAAACAACATCAACTGAAGTTCTAAAGTCTCTGCTCCTTTTAAGCAGCACAAACTTTTTATRAAACTATGTCCTGAATTAGTTCTGAATTAGTTCACCTCTTCTATTCTAATCCAAATTTACATAGCTGAGACATTCAGCAAATGAAAAGCGTTAACATTTGTGGTAACAGCCCACCAGCTCTTTTAAAGCCACCTGAACTCTTCACATCTGCTATTAATGATTAGCAAACAGCAAGTTCTTTGTAGCTGACAGCTTCTGGAAAAAGTTTACTCTGTTTAGATGAGGTCACAAATCAAAAATGTCACACCGACCTCCAGCCGCCTGATGATCTCTCGTAAAGAAAGGCTGGTCTCACTTCCTCCTATGAAGGTAGTTGTGGGCAGCTGAAAGACTTTGTCCAAATCTGACTCATGCAAACCATAAAACCCTGTAAGAGGTGCATAATCAGTTTGAGAAGCAGGAGAGGGGACAAAATCTTTTTTTTTTTTTTTTTCTCTCTCTCAAAGCTTCACCAACTGAAATTTAATAAAGCAATATTAAAAAAGAAGGAAGCAGATTAAGGATTTATAGTGTGAATATTTTGGAGACATCCATTCACAGAATTTACTTTGTATGGAATTAAAAGAGAAAATGTTTTCACTAAGTAGTTATTATTCCACTAGAGAAACCAAATAATTCCTTCTAAAATGCAGGTAACAAAACTTATTACAAATATTTTTACATTTTCTAATTTTAGCATACATGCCATCAGTTCAGTACACTATACTTAGGTGAAATGCCTGATGCAAATTTCCTCTTTGCTTTGTATTATTTTCTGTATTTCTAACTTTGACCTATCCTGATTTTGGATATATTGTACACACATATTCAACATTGATCTGACAGCCTGCACATAACTCAGTGTAGAGCAGTGCTCTATATTCCTGTTTAAATCAATTTCCTGAAAATAAAAGAAAAAGCAATTTAAAGATTAAATAACGATAATACTTAGCATATAGATACACAGAAGCCTAAGTATAGATAGAAGCCAGGCCATAGAACTGTGTTGCAACCATTTTTACTGCACTGTACTGTCACATATTTTGTGTTTTAATACATAAACACCTATTTTGTTTTTAATATTGCATATTTAAATATAAATTTAAATATTAGTATTTCATAGGTTTAATATTAATTTAATATTTTTAAATTGACAAATCTGGAGTAACTAAAACAGATGCCTGCATACCACTACTAAGTCAGTATGCAGACACCACCTTATATCACTATTTTTTCCCACTTGAATATATTTTTCCAGGACAAAATTATTTCTGTTATCTATAAAACAAAAGAGAGTTAGTTTGTTCAGTTGAAAYAAAGCAGTGTTACTATCCTATTTTTTTTTCCCTTGCTTTCTTTCAGACTTCAAAGGCTCGTCATGTGCTGTCATGCAAAAAATAGGACATATACAAGAGTGATTTGGGCACAAACAGAACATCTGTGCTTTGTACTCKTGCACTGCATATTTACTGAAGCATCTTTTCATGTTTAAAGAGAAAAAGTCTTCTTGAACTCCAAGAGCTCCTGAAAGCAATCCTGGATCTCCTATTGTGGAGTAGGAACACTTCTAACCAGCATTTTAGAAGCAGCTGTTAAAAGAAACTTCCTACCAGAAGGTTTCTTGAGAAAAMCAGAAGACAGGACCAAGAAAACACATAGGAAAGTCTAATATCAACTACCTTCCATACCATCAGAGGTCCTCTGCACATTTTCTGCCTGGAACGCTCAAACTATGATGGTCTGGGTTTTTGAGAGCAAATGTTTAAGAGCCTTCTCTCTTTTTGCTGTGTCCACCCTGCATTAGAAATTGTTTCCTGCACAAATTCAATTKCACCCTAGTACATGTATCGTTTTCTTATGTACCTGAAGATTTCAGTATCAGCACTCTGGCAAGTCACAAGGCTCTGGACAAAACTATTTCTAAGGTTTAAGAACATTTGTTCMAGCCTGTCAACAATCACTCAGCTCTGAACACCTATTAGAGTCTCATTAATTTAATTAAAACAGTTATTAGTATAGTGCTTTTACAATTATCTTTCTTATAACTATGAAGACAGGAGTTGATTTTTTTTCTTTATTTCCTCTCTTTAGACACACTATCAGGTACTCACCAAGTTTATCAATGGTAGTGATTAAATCAGATGGAACAAACGAATCCAGGTCTGCATCGAGAATTCCAAGAGGGTCTAACTGAGCCACGTGATGGCCACGAATCTGAAAAGAAAGGAAAATGGGTGAAAAACATTATCGGGCTAATGAAAACTAGAAAGATTTAAATAAATAAAAAGATAAAATAGAGAACGAGATCGATATCTCTCTTCAAAACATATAATAAGTAGACATGGTTAAYGCCAAGAGGAGCAGTTTTCCCTTTTTTTCTGCAAGAACATAAAATAAGCATTACACCACTGGATATGTATACAATCTCTTAAAAACTGTTGCCTACACGTGAGAACCTAAGTTTTATTTTGTTCAGCATCCAACTTAAAGTAGAATTACATTAAAGACTAAATAAAAAAAAAGACTAGCTTTGGTGATTGTACTCTTAACTTTCTGGGTAAAATGAACTTAGCGTGACTAACTGCCATTTCAATCCCCATGTATTTTTGTTCAAATCCTCCTTTAAGCAAGTGGAGAACACCAATGTACAGCAGTGCTGACCTAAAATGTGTACTGGTGACACAGAGGTTTCTATTGCAAATGAAGGGATCTGTCTGCATGATCTGTATTCCACAGGAGAGAGTGATCTCCACAACAGTCAACATAGCTTTCATTTAAGAAGGTTTGGAAATTTCATGTGTAGATGAATGAATGAACTTTAATACATCAAATACATCAATGGGCAATGTAGTCAGCTGTCACTTATTAGTAAGGCTGGTCAATATAAGSTATAAACTGCTACAGACTTTATATTACAGTTCTTGATATTATTAACAGTGCTACAGAAGGAATAATTCAAACACAGCCACAAAAGATGTGTACATATGTATGGGTGTGCATATGCGTGAATATATATATATATGTGTGTATATATGAAATGCCCTTGTGCATTCTTTTTATATACCRAATTAGGTCATTAAAAGCTTTTTTTGTGGGCGAGTATGTGAATTTTTTTCATTTTATTTTTCTTCTAAAGGCTGAATTCAGATCACTTGGGTAGAATTTCACGCACACTGCTAATATAGTAACTGTCTCTGAAAAAACACTAATAAACTGCAGCTTTATTGAATATAATCACTCTCACTAGTGTGTAAAATGTGGCTTATCTATGAGACTTTTTTAAAACACTATTCAAATATTCTGTATTTGCAGGACAGTGCATACCAAAATGTACTTATAAGCTAACAGAATTTAGTTTTGTTTTTCTTAAATACAAGAAAGAATAATCGGCCCTGTAAATTCAGCCTGGCCTCTGAGATTCTTTGCACCTTATGAATCACCAGTAATAAAGCCTTGAYGGGCCAAATGATGCCCACAGCAACATCTGTGCCACCTCGTTGTTTACAGCAGCACCAAGTGTATCTGACTGGAACTAAGCAAGTAATTCCATCTCAGGCATCATCAACAGGAAAGAACTCACCTCCCCAAGCTACGGCTGTTCTGAAGTATTAAAGGAGGAGGACGAGAAGAGTATTAGCAAGAACTCCAAACCTCAGAAGAGCAAGTCTATAAAAAATGGTGCCATATTACACTCCAGAATTGGCTGTGTTTTAATTAAAACACAGTATGTCCCATAATCAAGACTTTTTTTTTTCTTTTTTTTTTTTTTTTAATAACTCTACACTCAGAAAGGGAAACTACTTAAACAATTTCTGCAACAGGTACGTGTGTAAGCACTAAAGTGTCACAAATACATCATTTATGCAACAGATTATTATTTATACAAATATCTAGCTGTCTATTGCTTACCTTTTGATCTGTTTACACAATACAAGGTAGGTATAAGATTCAGTAGTACAGGCTGCAGAAAAAACAAAACTATCTTCTCTTCTACCCACTTATCCTTCACAGAGAGTTACAAAACTAAAGCTATGTTCTGACTTCAGAGCAGTCATTTTAGTCCATAATGAACAAAGTTAAAAGGCAAGAAGATTCACACAATTAGCTCCTAGATTTTTAAAGGTAACACTAAGTGGTAAATCCCAATCATGTTGAGATCTATTATAACATATTTTGCAATCAGGAGTTGGTGTGAAAGACTAGTTTTTACACACATTCTGATTACCCTACTGCTTACTGTGTCCTGACAAATGCCACAGTACTACCAGTTTTCTGCAGCTTGAAGATTTCTTCACTGTAGACTTCTTGTATAAAAAAAGGGAAAGGGAAATGGTAGTTTGTCCACTGTCTACCACTGATAACTAATTAAATACTGCATTAATATCATAACTAACAGGCAACTTGGAAAGCACCATAAAGTTGTCTGGCTAAAAAATTTTCAATTGCTACATACCGCAAGTGTGGCCATCAAAACAAATGTACCATATTTCTGTATTGCAGTTTGATTTATCGTTTAGAAAGCATTTTGTAGCTCTTGGGAAAACAGATGCCTTGTTTTTCTTTTTGTTTTCAGAGCAGTTTATTTTAGGAATGCATGTGAATCRTGTTTTATCCTGCTCCTAGTTTGCCAGAACATTTAATGGGAGAAGGAAATACGAGAGAATCACGGAATAGTTGTGGTTGGAAAGAACCTCTACATATCAACCAGTCCAACCTCCCGGCTTAAATAGGGTCACCCAGAGCAGTTTGCTCAGGACTCTGCCAAGACAGTTTTCAAATATCTCCAAGGATGGAGACTCAGCAGCCTCTCTGGGTAACCTTATACAAATATATTATTAATCTCAACAAAAATCAGTTACTACATATCCATGTGTAGTGAACAGCAAAACAACAGCACCCATGCCATTTGCCAGGGAGATGTCCTCCCCCACCTACCAGAAATGCACTTACTTGGTATGCTCTTATCAAAGACTGCACAGCAAGATGATCTTCAACAAGTTTCTCGGCTTTGCCCGGTGTCTGGGCCAGGCCGTGGCTCTGAAGAAACGATGCCTTTTTTTCTAACTGATCTGGTAAGTGAGGGTCATATGCTTGGCCAGCGTTAGCATTTCGGAAAAACAAATCCCAGGACTAGATATGAATACAGGAAAGGAAGAAAGAAATGAAATTAGTCATCTCAAAGAAAATAAGGGAATCTGGTCCTTCTACAAAAGTTTTGTTTTGGTCAAATTCAAGTTCTTAGGCAGATCTGATCTAAACTTGGCCTAATCTTCATATGCTGCGGTAAAATCTGGTGGTCACATCATGCTTGGTGGTCAGGTCCTGCCATGATGATGAAGAGTTTCTTTGTCCCATTTGTGCCTATTTCCTCTTTTCTTCTTAACTTGATACTTGACCAGCTTAGTTTAAATTAGAAATCTGCATTTATGCAAAATACTGAAAGAAGTCTACAGGAACCACAATGACATTTTCTCTGTGTATACCATCTTATCCTAAATTAAGAGGAGTATAGTTATTCTATGCCTGTACAATAACTAATCTGACAATTTGCAATGCTAACTAACAACGGCCTCCATGTGGTACAACTAAGGCTACTTAGACTAAAGTTATTTTCATTAAATTAAGAAGTTCTTGATACACATTTGGCCAATCACCATGACAAATGTGACATTTACTTTTCATACATAATTTTAAGAAGGAATATCTCATTATGCTAAGGTTCCTTCCTCAAATTTTCCACAGACAGTGAAGACCATAATACATTTACATTTTACATAATACATTTTTTTTTTTTTTGGTGTCAAAAGCTTTGGATTTAAACATAAAATACATCAGAGCAAAGGTCTACAAACAGTTTTATGTGTTTTTGGACAAACAGTCTGCTGGGACAGCTGCTAACCCAATTCACACAGATTTGTCTTGCAAGGTACACATATAAGGAGAATAAGCAGAGCATTGTTTTTTTCAAGTAGAATCACGGAAACAAAAAAATACCTCCAGAATGTTTACATCTGAAGATGCAGCCTACTGGGACAGAAGGTACTCACACTATTTTTTCCCATCGTATTTTTGAACGTATTGATTTGGTGAGCAGGCTTGACATTTAATCAGAGGGGAGGGAAAATACATCATTTGGCTACAGAAAATTAGTTTTTTTCTGTACACACATCCATCAAAGCCTTTAAAAATTTCTATAGCGTCTTTCAAGATTGATATCAGATTATAGTCTTCAAGTCTTGTGTATCAACGTCAATCTTTGGCAGCAGCACTTGCCATGTGCCTGAACAGACAAAAGACCAGCAAATCTGGATGCCTCTCAACTAAATGAGTAAAGTTTTTAAGAAAAGGGCGACATCAMAGGTTTGGAGGTTAGAAGGGAATTTTGTGAAGAGACTTGCAATAGTTTTGTCTTTTTTGTTTGTTTTTCCTAAATACCTCTGGRGGGTAGGGGGGCGGCTGGGGGGAAGGTTAAATAAATTCATATAGTAATAATACAATACATTCCTCTATTCTTCTGGCCAGTAAATTTATTTTGTAATTAATAATGCTTTTACTTTCTGAATTAATAGAATTCATGGGACTCAGTGACAATGTGTTACTCTAATACAATAAACAGGACTAAACATTGAAACATGTAATTTTTATTTAGCTTTAAGATTTGCTTTTTTTTCCATTGACATTATAATATATCTCAACTACAATGAGGACAGCAAAGCCTTAGAACGCAGTAAGTACTGAGAACCACTACATCATTAGTTGTGAAGAAAAAAAAGTCAAAGCCAAAAACCCCTTTTTTCCAAGAATGAGGAAGCGATCACATACTCACAGGAGAGTGGCTGCATATAGTATAACATGGTAGGCATTATGTACTCAATATCCAACCATGCAGTTTTGTAATTAATCTTGTGATAGTAATAACTGAGCCTTGTCAGGCTTCTCTGTTATGATCTATGGCCCTGACACCACACTCCGAGCAAAAATAATGATGCCTTTTTCAAAGCCCGTGTCATTTTACTCCAACTGTTGTTCTGGCTACTTTAAGGAAAGGAAATACACAAGACAAGGAAAAGCAGGAAATCATCAGGAATGGATCTGCACAAGGAATGAAAAGGTCCCCTGGATACAGATACATATTCCTAGATACACAACTGTGGTACATAAATGAAGGACAGATCTCTGTCTTGTCAGGATTTTTCTACATTCCCACAAATTTCTGTTGCAGAATGATAAATCCACAACTTCCACTGGAACGATGAAAATATGGTATGCATTTTCTGTATATTCAAGAATATGCAGGGTGGCTTGAATTCTCAACACTTCCCCTCCATTCCTCCCTTTTTTTTTAAGTATTATTTTTAGCTCACGTTGAACAATTTCTGTCAATTAAAGTTCTTCCAGGAGTACTTACAGCTTTTTGCTAAAAAGAGAAGGTGGCTTTCAAAAGACTAAAAATGAAATTCATTGATGAAACAAAGACAAATTAATCACTACTGCCTCCTCCTCCCTGGGGCTTTTCAGACAAGYATGCTTGTGAAGCAATTCATAATTTTAATCAACCATATCCTTTCTAGCCTCATAAACCAGGCACAATGAATTCACTTTGGTTCATTATGTTGGGATATGCTTAACCTGGAAAAGAAGTCACACATTGCCAAAATACATCTTGAATTACTTGGGATACATTCTCTGGGACAAATACTAGTCAACCAGCATGTCTACATTCCTCTGTTAAATCACTATTAATTTATCAGTTGCTATTCAAACTACAAATTGTATTCCCTCATCAGAATCTGGCTCCGACCTGTGCTAGGCCTAGCAGATGAATTGGACATTCCAYTGGTAGGATTTTTACCATGCTCATTAAATAATTAGCCAGAACACCTCAAGTGACTGCCTTTAGCAGAAGTCTGCCACGTCCTAGGCCCGTTGTGTCAGGAAGTTTAGTGCCACAGCAGCAGGCATTGCTTGCCCTGCAGGCATCACCTTCAGCACCATGGTCAGCACCGGGAGCGCCCAGCCCGGCGCACACAGCACACGCACTGCGAATCCAGTATCAAGCCCTTACGACAAAAGGTTAACGTGGACTCACTGGGTTAATGTGGACCCACAGAACTAACGTGCTCAGGGCTTCTCTGAAATTAATGCAATGCATTCACACAGCATGCTGCCTTGCTGCGAACTAYCTGGAAACTGAGTTGGCAGGTACACGAAGGGAAATCAAAGAGGGACAAAGTGAGAAAAGGAGCCAATCCTGGGAAAGGTCTCTTCAGTTTCAAGCTAACGCACAACACAAAAGGCAGGGATGTGTCTCKTGTGTGAGTAACAGGCACTCTTCAAAGTTGTCATCGATGTATGTCACTTACCTAACAAAAGGAAATTCATACAGGAAAAACAAGACTCTTATTTTGTTATCCATTTTTCTCCCTTCAGTGTGCATGATTTCCTCACTCTTTAGACAGAGTAGACTTAAAACACCAAATTTTAAGTGACATTTTGATATACTTGCCCCATGAATAAAGGAACACACAATAAATTTGCAAAAACAACTGGGGCACAATTTGCACTACCACACTACTGATTTGTCTTAAACTTTATTGAACTTCTCATCAACTCCTTAATGTGTATGTACTATAACAGAGTCCTTACTGTCATCAGAAAATTTGACAGAAATAATAAGTCTTTATATTTTTCCCCACAAGAAAGGATTAAAAATAAAATGGTGTAAGTATACATACCCTGGCCTGGACAGAGGCACTGAACAAAACACTTTTCAAAATACTCGAGCTTTTCCTCACAACAGATTCAGTTTTAAGATTACAGTTTCCTAACAGAAGGGAACTGAACGTTCAACCTTAAGCAGTTTAGGAATGTCAACAAAAATAAGCAACATATCCCCTGACATAACCGCATTACAATAAGTAAACCAAAATATTAAGAGCAWTTTACTCCTCAGATCTTCCTTCAGAGTCTAGTTACTTAAAAGACTTCTTTAATGTTCATTCCATAGAAGAATTCTCAAAGTTAGTCAGCAGTTTATTTCTAGTTTGGACTTCTAACTCCAAGTTCACCRTGCCTTTGGCTCCTCTGTGCTTTTGCTTTGCTGTAACATCTTATAACAATCAATATGTGAGGAAATTAGTTTCATATTTTTCATTTCATACAAAACCTTTCCCTGGACTTGTAATAAAAATGTTAAAAATAGAAGGTGTCAACTCCACTCAAGCTAATAATAAAATTTTCAGTTCACTTTTAGACTTACCTTATGCACACTTTTGGGGTTTTCAAGCCAAGCATAATACATTTCCTCCACGTAACTGGAATTACTCCCACTCAGGAATGGTTCTGAGATTCCTGATGAAACATATCGTTGGCCATGGAAAAATATCTTTCTGGCTGTATCATGCTTTTCCAGAAGTTTAGTGCCATGCCATTTCAATGTAGCTGCAAGCAGCTTCAGATGACTCATGTTTATTTATTAGACAGAAGATCCAAGTCTATTAATAAAGACAAAAAAAACCAACTAATCAGAAAAATAGTCATGAAATTACAGGCACACTTCAGTCTCACCATCAAAACTGAAGTTCACGGTTAGACATTTCTTTAATAAAGGTCAGGCCTAGGCACAAAGTTACCTTCAGAACAGAGGACACCCCTGATTGMCTGTGGAGCTGCATTTACTGCAGTGGAAGTGCGGCTGACAGCCACCCTCCCATCCACGGGTTTCCACAGCAATTATGCTGCTCCTTGTACCAAGCYCTGCTTTTCTGGGAGTGCAAGAGACTGCTAAACCATCGGTTTCCTGGGGCTCTTGGCATCCCTAACTGCTGTCTCGCAGCTGAAGAAAGAAGTAGCKTTTTACAATGCCAAAACAAGGCAGGTTCAGCAAACAGCTTCAGTCTACACACTGGAACCTACACTTTGGAAAAAAAAAGCCCATTGCCCCAAATTTCTACAGCCATGTATAATGSAGTTGACAACACAGGAGTGTTAGTCAAGTCTTCATATTGACCTCAGCTTTGAATCAAATTGGGTTACATTAAGAAGAGGCCCAGGTTAATTTGTTCTCCTAACTAGCTACATTTATCTTGTCCTTCAGGTGACTTCTTACTTAACGTTTTAATAAGGTAAGCAGATTCYCTATAATTTTGAGCACAAAATTAAAAAAAAAATTTTGAATACACTGAATAAAATCAGCTCTGGTGCTAGCAGCGGGAATCAAAGCTCACCTTGAGAATAAGATTCATAAACGTAGCTTGTAAATAGATCTCAAAGCAGTCCAATCTCAATGCTATAATTACTACAATAGCAGAAGAACAGCAACAGTGTGAAAAAAAAGTATATTAATTTTGTTTACACTTTAGAACTATCTATGAAAGAATATAATGGACAAGATACAGACTAAGAACAARAACACCATCAGATTTAATTCTGCCATAAATACAATCCTCATTCACTCCGTTCATCCTGAGAAATAACTTTTCCTTTGGTCAGAGTATAAAATCCCTAGTTTTTGTTGTGACTAGCTAAACAGCTCCTAAAACCAAAAGTACTGATTTGCCATATCTTTTCTATGCGTTAGAAACAATGTTGTCAATTTAAGTCATTGACCTATCTTACCTATTATATGCAAAGATTCTATCTCTAATAAAAGAAGCAATAGATACTTCCCTTTTTCTCTTTCCCCTCAAAACACAGGCATWAAAAAAAAAAAAAAAAAAGGTTATAAAATAGGAAACATTACCTAAGTAGGTAAGGAATAGGAAATCTCACCCGCCAAATGCGCCTTAGTTTAGAATAAATACTGATCTTTAAAAAGCACCTTAAAGTCAGCCATCCATTTTGCCGGCTGCTGACAACTCTCCACACTGCCGACTTTATCCACACCATCCTGGCAGTGACCTCTCCTCCTCTAATGCCTCTAATTTATTTGCCTCCTCTTTCATGTTTGTCTCCCCTTTCAAGACTTTTGCAGCCCTTCAGCTCTCATCCACTACCGTAATTGACTGCTAGCTCTTAGTATCAGCTGCCATCATCCCATACATTGAACTTCCCAAACAAGTACTTGTATGAGTAGCCCAGATAAATGGGAAGTATTCTCCAAAGTGAGTAGCACCGAAATTAGCATGTAATCCTCCTTTAATCAACAACAAGAAAAAACAAGAAAAAACTCCAATGCCCTCGTATAMTCTTCCCTTCCAGTGTTTTCAATAAGTTAGCAATGATAAGACTATGTGGAATCCCCTATAAATTTGGCTGAACAGCATTATTTCCTTATCTAYACTGACTTGTCATTTCTCATTTTACTGATGCAAAGCTATTACAACACTGACTTCCTCCTGTGCTAACACTAGGGCTCCAAGGCAAGGGTGGGAATGTAAGTGCTACCAGCWCTATTCTGAAAGTAGATTAAGTCCTCTGCAAATTCAGAGCACCTGAGGCAACATCGACAGAGTTGAAAACATATTGTCTACATACATTACACTCTTTAAGATGTAACAGCAACAAAAACACTATACATACACATCATGGCATTTCTGACAACTTCATAAGATTTTAATGGATTGTTAACAGTAAGAACTGATATGTCACAACAGCACAAAAACCTAGGACTCTACACTCTACCTCTCTGCTAAAATTATCTTGTATTTAATTTCATGTCAAYCCCACCCTGTCTTTCCTTCTTCTGCATACATACTGCAGCAGGGGGATCTAACCGCCAGCTCTTTCCCAAATGGTTACCAGCCTTCGCTTAAAGTGCTTTGCAAAGACCTGAAGAGAAGGGAATGAGAGGAACATTTATCTTGGTTTAACATACTACAGTAGCTCTTTCTTTCAGCGATAGGAAAAACCAGGAAAATAATAGCTTGTAGGGAAGATTTGAAAACAGATGCAAAATCTGTGAAATACTTATGTCCATATAGTAGAAACTACTTCCCTCCTATTCCAAAATAGGCTCAGGGTATAGTGATAACTTGTAAATAAATGATCTATAAAACCAGATAAGGATTACTTTACTCCTATGAAGATCTAAAGATGCCTAGTGAAGAAAACTTCTATAATTGATGTTTTTTCTACCTTGCAAAATTAAGTAATACCTCAACTTGTGCATCTATGTAGCAGAAGTGGACAAAGCCCCCCGACGGGGCAGTTCCAATTACATTTCAACTACAGATTAATTTCAGTCAGTAAAACCAGCTCCTCCCTGGTTCTTTTTGTGCTTGCAGCTCGTCAGTGCAGATGTCAGCTGTCAGCATCAACACTAAACAAATGAAAGACCACCAGCACGATCATAGACCACTCCAGCCTACTCAGTCTTGAGACTGTCAGTCAAAAATCTGCACAAAGGATAGTGGGTAGAGTAAAAAATAGGATTGTTCCATTCCGCTATGTTTCCTAAATCAATCCTGAAATGAAAACAGTGATTGCCAAGGAATCAAGCTGAGTTAAGAAAAACCAAAAGAACATATTAATTACGTCTCTACCGGAGGTCAAATCAGAAAGAAGCAGTGAACCAGAAGAACCTGAGAGTTAATGCACGAAAGCACCATTAAAAGGGTGAAAGTAAATGAGGCAGCTGAAAACCTCTACAGCTGTTTTGCAGTGCTGAATGTGTGCTTTGAGCCACAAACTYGCTTTTGCCTTAGCACTTTCAACCCAAGAAGTGAGCTAATGTGATGGACAGACCTGTCAATTACTCCACCTTGGTTTCCAGAGGGGCTGGAAGCATAAGGAAAAGATAACAAGGTGCTTCTGAAGCCAGAATTGTTTATCCAGCTTTTTTTTTTTTTTTTAGATTGTTTAGAACAGGCACGTTGCATAAACATGCAACATCCTTACAGGAATCAATATTCTCCTACTACTGCCCATATCCTCACTGACTTTCTTGGACACAAAGTCTTGCTACCAAAGGTAACGTGTGTTTCTTGCTCTGCAGAAACCATTAACAAGCCTGGCCCATGCCCCACAAAAACCTCATTTGCCTACTGTTGTGGCCATTTTCTCCTATAGACCTCACAGAGTTCTTAAGATGGAATGACTTTAATCTCAACACAGAGTAATGAGCATAGGGTAATGAAAACTAATCAAAATAAATTAACCTCAGAAGTCTGTCCTGGACACCTGAAACTAGAGCAGCGTGAAACATGGCAGCACCAGGAATGYCCCCCTACACCCTGGCTTCTTTCACTGCCACCACAGATGCTATTGCCATATAAAGACGCAATTGCCATATAAAGATGCAATTTTCCACCCCCTGCAAAAAACGTGAAAAAGAAGAACCTCATAATTCACCACTCATACACTGGAGTTTTATTTCATTTTATTTTTTTCAGGAAGATTATGCACTGGGCATTCACCACAACTCCTTTTAAGTCCTAGGGAAGGGGCCAGCTCCTTGCAATAAAACTAACGCTCCCTTTCCAAACAAACAAACAAATAAATAAGGGCAGGGGAGCGGGAGGGGTGTCAGGGAGGTGCCGTGCCCCGTCCCGCCGCGGCGTTCACCCTCACCGTGAGGGTCGGTCACCCTCGCGGCCTCGGCAGCCCCGGCGCGGGCGCCCGGGGGTCACCGCGCTCCCGCCTCAAGCGCGAGCGAC